GGGCCTTTTCTATCTTGAATTTCAGGGAACCGCGTACCCGTATCTGAACATAGTCGATCATGGTTCCAACCTTCAGGTAGTCTCAAGAGTAGGGAGTGCGACGGCAGCTGCCGTGTGGTCCGAGTTTCTGCGGTCCTGGGTCAGGCCCTTGGGGGCCCCTCACCTTTTGATTTCGGATGGGGGGTCCGAGTTTGGAGCCAGGTTTGCCCGGGGCCTGGAGCAGTGGGGAGTTTGTCACCATGTGTGCGACGCCGACTCTCCGTGGCAAAACGGCAGGGTGGAGCGCCACGGGGGTTGGGTCAAGGAGCGGGTCCGGGCCGAGTTAGAAACCGGGGCCGCCCTTCCAGCTAGCCTTCAGGAGATGGACGACTTGATCTTCGAGCTGGTCGCCCATAAGAATCGGTTTTGGCATCGAGGGGGCTTCTCTCCTCTCCAACTCGTGTTCGGAGAGAACCCTCGGCTTCCCCACGATCTGCTCTCTGATGACCACAAGGCGCTGCCAGGGTGGCAGGACGTCACCAGCCCATCCTCGGAACAAGATGAAGCCGGGGCTGAGTTTGCCCGGGCTCACGCCATCCGGGCAGCCGCCCGGAGGATGGCGATGGAGGCGACCGCTCGAGACAACATCTCCCGAGCCAGCCGGGCCAGGACTCCAGGGAATCGCAGATTCACCCCAGGCCAGTGGGTGTTTGTCTGGCGTCACTTTACCCGGATGTCCTCTCGCGCCGACGCCCTCGGACGGCGCCGGGCGGGCTGGGCGGGTCCCGGGGTCGTGGTTTTGGCCGAGGGGGGCACGGTTTGGGTGGCTGTCCGGGCCAGGCTCTGGAAGTGCTCGGCCGAGCAGGTCCGACTGGCTAGTCCAGAAGAGGAGTGCGGCCTTCAGCTGGCCGAGGACCCGCGCTGGCAGGATCTCCTGCAGGCCGTCCAGGCCCGTCGTGTGACGGCAGTGGACGTCCAACGTGAAGGGGCTCCCCCCGACAGTGCCTGGGACGAGGCGGCCCGAGCCGACCTCGACGCCGGGCCCCAGGTTCCAGGACCAGGACCTGCTCCGAGGAGCGATCCCGAGCCAGAGTCTCGAGCCCAGGCTCCCACGGTCACGGGACCCCTCGGCCTCCCACGAAGGCCGCCCCGAGGAGGTCAGTCTCGAGCCGGATCGGTCGTGGCGCAACCAGGATCAGAGCGGACGGGTCTGCCGTCAATTTCAGAGGGGCCGCCTTCAGAGGTGGATCGGTCAATCAACACTCCTCCGAGTCCTGCTCGCTCTCAGAAAGAAGTCGAGAGGGCCGACACGGGAGGAGGTTCAGTTGAGCCCGGGAGCTCTCTCTCTCTCTCTCTCTCTCTCTCTCTCTCTCTCTCTCTCTCTCTCTCTCTCTCTTCTCTCTCTCTCTCTCTCTCTCTCTCTCTCTCTTCTCTCTCTCTCTCTCTCTCTCTTCTTCTCTCTCTCTCTCTCTCTCTCTCTCTCTCTCTCTCTCTCTCTCTCTCTCTCTCTCTCTCTCTCTCTCTCTCTCTCTCTCTCTCTCTCTCTCTCTCTCTCTCTCTCTCTCTCTCTCTCTCTCTCTCTCTCTCTCTCTCTCTCTCTCTCTCTCTCTCTCTCTCTCTCCGTCTCTCCCCCCTCCCCCTGGTCTTTCTCCTCCTTTCTCCTCCTCTCCTCCCGGGCCTCCTTCCGAGGACGCGAGGCCTTTTCCCGACACTCCTCATCCTTCCAGTCCCCCCCCCGACCGGGACAGGCCTGCTCCCGGAGCAGCCGAGCCCCGAGCGAGGATCTCCCAGCCCGACGACGTGCCGGCCTGCATCCGGGCCGCCCGGGCAGGGAGCGCGCCTCCCGAGGTCAAGAGGGCGAGGGCCCTCGACCCTGGCGTCCCCCCCGCGGCGGGGACCTCCTCTCATCCTCCTCCCCCTGGTGGTGGCGGTGTTGGTGCTGACTTCTCCTCCTCCTCCGGTCTAGGACCAGGCCCGGAGACGTCCAGAGCTGTAGTGATGGGTAGGGAGGACAGCCGATCCGTTATGGAGCGGGTTCGAGATATTGAGTCCAGGGGAAGGTCCCGCTCCCCGGGTCGAAGAGAGACTAGTGAGGGGTTTGCGGGGGCCGAGCCAAGGGGGGATTTCTGGGTGGTCCCGGGCGCCGTGGACGGGCTCGGCACGATCCCTGTTGGTTTCGAAGGCTGGACCAGGAGTCTCGAGGAGAGTTTTCAGGACGGTGGTGTTTTCGCGGCCAGCCGAGGCGGGGAGGTGAGTTTGAAGCAGCTTACCCCCCCCGAGCGCCAAAAGTTCCAGGCTTCCGACGACAAGGAGTGGCAATCCATGATGCAGTCCGGGGGTGTCCGAGTCATCCCTCCCGCCCAAGCGGCTAAGATCCGTCAGCTCCAACCAGGTCGTATAATATCGAGCCGGATGGTCAGGAGGTGGAAGCCGGTGGAAGGAACGTTTACCGAGCCAGAGGCTAAGTCCCGATGGTGCGTCCACGGGCATAAGGGCCCGGACTCTGGATCCCTGGCCGTATATGCACCTACTCCACAAACGTCATCCATCATGATGTTTGTCCAAGTCCTGGCCAATTTCAATATGTTAGGAGACATCGCGGATGTCAAGAATGCGTTCACCCAGTCCGACCCCATGTCCAGGTCCCAGGGCCAGATCTACGTCGAGCCCTGCGCGGGCATCCAGGTGGAGCCGGGGTCGCTCATCCTCCTGCTTGTGAATGTGTACGGACTCGACGATGCTCCTGTAGCGTGGAGGCGCACCGTGGTGGGCCATCTGGAAAAGCACGGCTTTGTACGCAGCCTATTGGAGCCATGCTGGTGGTTGAAGTATCGGTCCGACGGTACCATCCAGAACATGATGCTATTAGAAGTCGACGACTTCTTCATTGGCAGCTCCGATGCATCGGCCCGTTCCTGGATCCGAAGTGTGCTCGAGAACCGTTTTCGTTTCGGCAAATATCGTGATTGCCACGTGGGACCAGTAGATTTCGCAGGCCGCCGAGTTACGTTCGCTCCAGGCAAGGTCACGATCGACCAAGAGAAGTACATTCTCGAGGAGATTCGTCCACTCACCCTGGCCCGAGGCAGGATGACACACAAGAATGCACCACTGGAACCCACAGAGTTCAAGGCTCTCAGATCCCTGGTGTACAAGTTTAACTGGGTGGGGAGGGAATCACGTCCGGAGGCGGCTGGAGTTGCAAGTATTTTAGCCAGTCGGCTCCGAGCTCCGACGGCGTCAGATGTTGCTCGCGCGAATAAGTTAGTCAAACACCTTCGAGCATCTGCGTCTCGAGGCCTTGCCGTCTGGAGGCTGAACCCGGAGCACATGGCTTCCATATCGTTCTCAGATGCTGGTGGAGTCGGCTCGGTCGAGTCACTGGTGGGCGACAACGGGCTGCCTTCCGATCCCACCCAAGGAGCTTGGGTGGTGCTGGCCGCCGACAAGTCAGTTCTAGATAACCAATCCGTTCGAGCTTCTCTTCTGGGCTGGCGCAGTAGTAAGCTACGACGTAAGGTCCCGTCGACTCTGGCCGGGGAAACCCAGGCCCTGTCGGCAGCCGTGGCAGAAGTCGAGTACCTACAGGTGCTCTATCGGGACGTTGTGTTTCAGGATGTCGACCTACCCGACTGCGTTCGAGCCTCAGGTCCGTTCACCACTGTCCTTCGGCGGGACTGTAGGCTAGGAAGTCGAGAGCAGCAGATCCATGTGGTAGACGCCAAGTCCATCTATGACACGATGCAGAAGGAGGGGAACGCGTCAGCCCGAGACCGCCGGACAGCACTTGACCTAGCGATCATCTGTGAGTCCCTCGAGCGTGCTCGAGGACGGGTCCGCTGGATTCCTCACGGCAGAATGCCGGTGGATGCACTTACAAAGGACGACATCACCAAGTGCAATGCAGCGCTGTTTGATTTTATGTCTAGTGGCAGGATCGTTCTCGTGGATGAAGAGTCCGAGGTGGATCGACGCCGTGCCACCCCCGAGCTGAAGGACCGCTCCCAGTCAGCTTCCAGGAAGATGCTGGCCGGGCCTACCTGGATTTCCTGGAAGGAGTACCTGGACGAGCTTGCTCCTCCTGGCCTGGTCGGTGGTGGTGGTGGTGGTGTCCTCCCGTCCACCTTCTCCTCTCCCTCTTCCTCCAATCCCGCTTTCCAATAGTCTGCTATCCTCTCCTATCCTTTGCGCTGTTGCTTCGAGTTTCAGAGTTCGTCGATCGGCACGATGCCGACCGACACTGCAAGGCAGTGGACACGGACTTCTGTAGTGTTTCCCGGGGAATGCTAAACCTAGAGAAAGTTGGACCCATGTTGCTGGGGACCATATTTTGTGACATAGGTTTAGCATATGCGTTTCACTCAGGGACAGATGGTCTGAGGACCATCATGTGTGACGTCCGTTCCACTTTTGGCTCAAGGGAAAACATTTCGCTTGCCTCTCCTGCTGCCACAAGTGACTAGCCCCCTGGAGCAGACCAGTTCTCCAGAGGCGCGAAACTTGGTTGCCTACAGCCATGCGTGGCGGGAAAGTCTTACGCATGCGAATACTCAGCTTAGCTAGGCGGGCTCGCGTAATCGGTCTCCTCCGATCACGCCCTCGTGTGCGTGCTGAGAGGCGATATTGTTGTGTAGCCGTCTTGCGCGTTGACAGGCATGTGGCTGTTGTCCGCTCCTTGCCACCGTTGTTTTTGGCCTCTCGCTCTTGGCACAGATTACCCCAGTGAGGCGCGAACGTAGTCGAAAGCGTCGTGCTTGACAGCAGCCCGCTGGTCCGCCAGGTCAACCGCGGACATCAGCACACGAATTCTGCCAGCCTTTGCGAGTAGTGCAAATCGAAGGGCTGGGTGTGCCATCCTGCACCCTCTTCCTCCTCCTCGTTTCTTTCCCGTCCATTTCCACTCTGGCCCCGTTTCGACGTCGTCCTCTTCCGTCTCGCCTTGTCGTTCCGTTTGCTGTTTCTCCTTTCTTCCTCCTGTTTCTTCTCCCCGTCAATCCCGTGTAACGGCGCCGCCCCCATAGGACTTGTCGCCGTGGTTGGCTGAGCAGAAGGGGGAGCTGGGAATCACCAGCGAGGTCGGCTTCCCTGGGCTGGATCAGCCGCAGGAGACAAACCATGGTGAGTCCAAGGTGGCCAGTCCTGAGCGAGTTTCCACTGCCGCCGCCTTTGCGGCGCCGATTAAGTATTGATTCGTTACCCATCGTCATTATCGAAGACGCCTACGGTGAACCACCGCCGCCCCTGCTGAAACGCCTAGGTGGCCAAGCGTTTGGCCAAGCTTTCGGACCATGTTTTTCGCCAGCCATTGTGGGACCCATGGGTGAAACAGTCGGGAGAACGAGAAAGGAGGAGGTGAGATAATTAGGCCAATCAGGACGAGGAGAAGGGAAAGGAGTAGGAGGCCTGTTGAGGCCGTCTTGGGGCTTCCAGGGGGCTTCCTGGGACCTGGGAGCCTCTTGGGACAACAATGATTCTGGCCTCCTGGAGGTCCTCTTGCAGCCCTCTTGGGCTTCTTCGGGGCCTCTTGGGCCGTCTTGGGGCGATCTTGGGGTGGGCCGCCTTGGGGCGTCGTAAGCAAGAAGCGATAATCTCAATAAAACAAATGAGTCCTGAAAGGGGTCGCTCTTCCAGCGGCCCCAGCGCTGCACCAGCGCTGTGTCCTTGAACGCGGCTTGATGGCTGACGCTCCTCCTATGCGTAGGCTGTGAGACCCGAGATCGTTCGTGTCGACCCCCTCTGCCACGGCCGCCTGCATCACGATCCACTGTATTTCATTCCTCGTGAGCAAGCGATCACCGGACGTCGCGCAGATCGTACATCCTCGATCCTGTGAACCTATCTGTGGCTCGCACCTCGTACATGCCAGAGCCCTGTGTTTTCACATCTGTGGCACGACGCCCCTGTTTGCAAACCACCGCCCACCGAGGATGATTCGATATTGTTTTGATGCCGACGGTAATGAGGGTCTCAGGTTTACGGTTTAAGAGTCGGCGAACATAATCATTTATGGTTCTGTATTGCACCCTTTTGAGGAAGATATTGCTACAGGCTGTTGGGCTGCATGCGTCACCGCTGCCCACGGGTCCCTGATTCGTGTTAGCCGTGGCCCTCTGACGGCCCACCTCCCCCAAGTTGTCCATGCCGAGCGCCGCACCCTTCTGATTCCACCTGGGCGTGGGGGTGCGGCTCGGAGGTTTCTGCGCACCGTACATCACTATTCCCGGGAGCGCAGGACATCAGAGCGGCGACCGGCCGCTTTTCCTTTTCAGAACACTCGAGAGTCAACAAGAATTGTGCCGAGGGGCGCCATCGCAGGTGGAGCCTTCAACAGCTCAAGGCGCAACTTCGCGACGCCCCAGGACGACAGGAGCTGGGAAGAGGAGTGAAGCAGCAAGCTACGCGTCCGTGGGTCGGCAGAAGATGCGCAGATACTGCTGCCAAGGAGGCGGCGAGTCAGGAGGGGAACAAACATACAGACACAATGAATCGTCGATTCCCCAGAAAATCTTGGAAAAGATGGGAAGTGGGGGGGAAGACAAAATCCCATAAAACACTGGAAAATATGGGGAATCCTATTATTGGTGTCTATTTATTTGTGTGTCCCAGGGCCCCCTCAAAGGAAGCGGCGAGGGGGTGCGCAGAGTCCACGGATGTCCGAAGTTGCGCAGACTGTTCCATCTTGTGGTTCTCGGGGTGTTCGATCTTTTGTTTCTTTTTTGATCACCTTTGGCCCCGACCTAAGAGCATGTTCGGCGAGCTTTCCAAAGTTCCGAGGGCCCCGAGGCCCCTGGTGGCCGACAAGCACAGCACCATCTCTCTTGGACCGGGGCGCGCTGGAAGCGCTCCAGGTGTGCTTGATTGTCTAAAGCCCTCAAGCGGGGCCCCGAAGCCGGCTCGTGGGCACCTCGCCCTTGCTCTTGCCGCTGCTGCCCCCCCCCCCCACGCCGCCTGGTGGTTGCTCGTCAGATGGCCACAGGTGCAGCCACTGTCTGGTGCGGCAGATGCGGGGTCTATTCCAATGGATCAGAAGCTGGGCGAAGGCTGGCAAACCCGTGGCTGCTAAAACGGAGCTCCGGGAAATAGTTTTTTTCTTCCGGGAAGCAGCCCCTTTACTATTTAGTGCGCTGAGCTTGATTCTGGGAATCTGTTTTTTTCTTCCGGGAAGACCGTTTTAGCAGCCACGGATTTGCCAGCCCTCGCCCAGCTTCCAAATGGAACCCGTCCTCACAACCGTTTTGGATCGTGCCGCACAGTCAATCGACAACAGCTGGGCCCGCTCCGCCGTTCTAAATGACGTTGGCCTCGTGCTGCTTTGGCTGAACTTTCGCCCACTCCGGTAACATGTTTCGTTCTCCCACTGCCAATGAGCCTGGCGAAGGACCCAGGCATATGCATCTCGGAGTACCGTCGTTGTTGGTATCGCCTTAGGTGGGGCCACGAAGCGTGCGAGGGGTGTGCCTTCATAGCCGTCGTCGTCCGTCGTCGTCTTCGTGGGCGTCGTCGTCGTCGTGGTCGTCGTCGTCGTCGTTTGTCTTCGTCGTCGTGGTCGTCGTCGTCCGTCGGCCCTGGGCGGCGCGAGCCATCAAGATCGCGTTGGGCTTGAGGTGGGGCCAGCCCCGGGCTCCGCCACCTTGTGCCTATGTTCTGCCTGCCTCTCCCTATGGAGCCACGAAGCGTGGCGTGCGGGCCCTGGTGCCCAGACCTTCGGTGGAGCTTCCCAGGAGGCCACGAAGAGTGCGAGTGGAGTGCGATGACGACGACGACGACGACGACGACGACGACGACGACGATGGCAGCGCTAATGAAGCGCAGGGTCGAAGCAGGGATGGGAGGAGGGAGGACGAGAAGGAGGACGAGGGGGAGGAGAAGCAGCAGGTGCAGCGATGCAGGCGAGATGAAGGAGGGGGCCAGCAGAACAACTGCGGTGTGAATGATAATAGTGGCTGAAATTGGCCAGCGAGGAGTCTCCCCTCTCCCTGTTTCCGTCGTGCTGTGCGCCCCTGCCCGCCTGTCTCGCGGTGGCCCGGGCCCCGGGCGCGCTGCCATATGGTGCCCATGGTTTGTCCTGACAACTCCGCGGGGGTTTAGATTAAAAGGGTTTAGATTCGTCGGAGGTGAGGGGGTGAGATCGAAGTGGAACGGAGAGCCCCCCTACCGGGAAATCGGTTTCGGTTTGGTGTTCGTGCGTGCCGTGCGTGCGGGCGAGACAAAGCTGCGTGGGCGGGCGAGAAGAAAGTCTCCTCCAGCTGAGGCGCGGCCGGACCAAATGATTCCTCTGGGGCTCTGGGGGCCGGTGCCGCGCGGTGTCCCGCCGGTGTCCCGCCTCTGGCTGCGGCGCGGCCGGACCAAATGTTTCCTCTCTGGGGGCCGGTGACGCGCGGTGTCCCCTTGGTGTCCTGCCGGTGCCCCGTCGGTGTCCCGATGATGATGATGATGATGATGATGATGATGATGATGATGATGATGATGATGATGATGATGATGATGATGATGATGATGATGATGATGATGATGATGATGATGATGATGATGATGATGATGATGATGATGATGATGATGATGATGATGATGATGATGATGATGATGATGATGATGATGATGATGATGATGATGATGATGATGATGATGATGATGATGATGCTGATGATGATGATGATGATGATGTCGGTGGTGTTGATGATGATGCTGATGATGATGATGCTGATGATGGTGATGGTGGTGATGATGATGGTGTCCCGATGATGATGATAATGATGTTGACGATGTGGATGATGATGATGATGATGGTGATGGTGGTGATGATGGTGTCCTGAGGATGATGTTTATGATGATGATGATGATGTTGCTGATGATGCTGATGGTGCCCCGATGCTGATGATGTTGTTGATGACCCCGATGATGTGGATGATGATGAGATAATGATGAGATGAGGATGATGGTGTCCCGATGCTGATGATGATGGGGTTGATGATGATACTGTTGATGATGATGTTGGTGATGATGGTGCCCCGATGATGATGATGATGTTGTTGATGACGATGATGACGATGATGGTGTCCCGATGATGATGATGTTGATGATGAGGATATGATGAGAGGATGATGACGATGATGGTGGCCCGATGATGGTGATGATGGGGATGTTGATGATGATGATGGTGTGCTGATGATGATGATGATGATGATGATGGTGGTGACGATGATGAGGGTGTCCCGGTGATGATGATGTTGATGATGATGGTGTTGCTGATGATGATTCTGTCCCGATGATGATGTTGATGATGTTGTTCCTGAAAATGATGAGAGGATGATGATGATGATAATGATGGTGGTGTTCCGATGATGATGATGATGGTGATGGTGTTCCGATGATGGTGATGTTGATGATGGTGATGGTGGCGATGATTGTGTCCCGATGATGACGATGATGGCCATGATGATGATGGTGATGAGGTGATGATGTTGGTGTCCCAATGATGATGATTTTGATGACGATGATGTCGATGATGCTGCTGACGTTTATTTTGATATCGATTGTGGTATCGATATTGTGATCGATAATGAGACCGGATGTGAGACCGATTGTGATATCGATAGTGACATCGATCGTCAGATCGATGGTGAGATCGATAATCATATCGATTGTGAGATCGATCGAATGAAATGGATCGAGTGAGATCGATTGTGGGATCGATCGAGTGATATCGATCGAGCGAGACCGATAGTGAGATCGATAATGAGACCGATCGAGTGAGACGTTGGTTCCTCCCCCCCGAACCTCCTTATCACCCGAAGGGTGGTCGTATAGTAGTAACTGTTTTATTCGGACGCGTTGCTGATGAATCATCGTTTACGCACGGTCATCCATCCATCCGTTCGTCCATGTACCCATCCGTCCATCCATCCATTGCATGCGCACCGCCGCCAGATTCCGTCCATCCACCCACCCACCCATCCACCCATCCACCCGCCCATACATATTTCCATTAACAATATGCACTATCTCTCCATTCACCCATCCTTCAATCCTGCCTTTCTTCCACCCTTCCTGCCATTGCCACTTTGGCTGCGGCGATGCCTTCCTGGCCCTTCATGTTTTTTTCCAGTCATCCTGCCTTTGCCTTTTCCTGCC